TGTAGCAATTAATACCTGGCGATATGGGTTGAGTCCTCTCTCCTTCATAAATGATTCCATTAACATTAAATGATATAGATATAGAGAACAAGTAGTTCAGATTAGGATCTAATCCTCCTATTAGACCTTCAGTAGTATCACCTGGGAATACTCTCATTCCTGTCTCTACTTGTCTCTTCTTTCTTGAGGAGCTACTGGTTGACTCATAATAGACAGTATAATGGCTAGCTCCAGGAACTGAACTCCAGACAGCTATCACTGCTGTAGAACTGAACTTTGTTACAGAAAAGTATTGACTTACAATTGCAACTATATACTAAGATAATAATTATAATCTTTCAATAATTCCTTACAAATTTGAGCAGTAGTGTATTCTCTATCAGTCCATTCTCCTGGTCCAATACTAGTATATGCTCTCACTCCAATAGTATAACTAGTATTAGGTATCAATCCTACTATACTGTAATAAGTGTTAGTAGTATTAGTTATATTGTATGGACCAGTACTGGTAGACTCTCTATATCTTATCTCATATACTGTAATGATACCATTAAGTATTGTAGGAGGATTCCATGAGATACTGATTTTAGTTGGTACCCTTGCATATAGATCAGATATCAGACCAGGAACTGTGTTAAGATCATGTTAAACTGATCAATATCTCATTGACTTACTTGATTCATCGGCTAATTGTATTTTTTGGGTAACAGGCCCATTCATATTATAATTATAAGGTATTATACTCACAGTATAGTTAGTATATGGTATTAATCCTGTGAGATTATACATTCTGTTGTCTCCTCCAGTGATATTAACAGTATAACTAGTGTTTGAAGTGATGTTAGTGTATGTGAGGTAGTATCCAGTGATTGGTCCATTCCTTCCATTGCAAGGTACTTCATCCCATGAGACAGTCATTGACACTGACTCTACTGATGAGAATATAATATCATCCACTGGTGCAGTAGGGGCTAGAGAGAATAAAACAATAATAATGAATTAATAAATAGGGGCATACCAGATGAAAGTGTAGTAGTTACATTGCTAACATTAAAATCTACCATATCATCTCCATATACTCCAATAAGATCAAAGGTACATTGACTGTAAGGAGGTATACCAGTTGAAGTATGTGATGATGAAACTGATATTTCACTATTACTAGTGAGTGATGATTCACATGCTCTACTACATCTCCTATTAATACTATAACTAATTGGTACTACAGCAGTTGGTGGACTCCATGTTAATGTAATGGTAGAAGCTGCAATTAGAGTGGTCATAAAATCAGTAACCACTGGATCACCTAAAAATAATACATAAATTACTTTAATTTGATTAAGTATCTTTACGTACTAATTGTCAACATAACTGAAGCATTACCACTAGGTAGAGAAGCTGATCCATAAGTTACTACATAGAAAGTGTATGTAATCCCTTGAAACAATCCTGATGTTATATTGATTGTTGTTGATACAGTAGTGCCTACACTAACAGGAGTATTACTAAACAGTTGATAGTAGACCTCATAACCAGTAGCTCCTGATACAGTAGACCAGGAGAGTCTTACATGAGCTAAACCAGTACTTAATCTTGTAGCAGTTAAACCAGTTGGAGTATCAGATACTGAAAATATATTGAATTAATAAGCAATAATAAAACAGACCTGATAAATTAAATGATGTGGTACTACTTAGTGCCAGAACACCTCCTATAACACCATTATCACCATCCTCTACTCTGTCATTAGAAACAGTACACTGATAGTTACCAGCTTCTCTCAGTCTCACTGTTACTGTCACTTGTGTAGTAGAATTTGGCCCATTCACTATCACACGAGACAGTTCCGTAGATATTCCATTCCCATTCACTGAACAACTGACAGTAGTAGGAGGACCATTAGAGACATTAAAACTGAGACTGAAGACTGGAGGAGTAGCTAATCTACTAGTGGAGAGGAGAGAGAACTGCATAGTAGGATCAGCATCAGGACCATCTGTAAAAGAAATGCATTAATTATAGTCTATATTCATCACATACCATTGCCATCATATACATCATCAGTATATGCTCCAACCACTAGTGTATGAGTCACTCCATTCTCATCAGGAATGATACACGTGTATAAACCTTCATATCCTGATAGTCCATCACTTCTAGCTAGTGCAATCTGACCACTGAATCTCTTACTAAAAACTGGTTCTGGAACTCCTGATGCAGCATCAAATTCTCCATCAAATAAAGGTACTTCAGTTCCATTAGGATAATACCACACTCCAATATTAGTACTAGTGTTAGCACTCTGACACCACAAAGCATCATTAGTATTTCCAGCATCATGATTCTGATCAGTATTATAAAACTGGCTAGCATATATCATAGAGTAATCAGGTATTATCCTGTTCACAAAAGGTAGATATAGTTGAACACCTACATCAGGTGAGTAACCAATAAAAATCATTAAGTTTATATTCTTACCATTACTAGGCAGGTTATCAGGTTGCTGTCCTTCAACTCTCAACAGGAGGAAGCCAGCAAGAAGAAGCAATGCCCTCAACATCTTCACAAAATAGACACAAAAATGAACAGTCAACAGTATTCAATTTCATGTTTAGTGTATAGCGTGTGTGTTTCTTATTTGCTATCTCACATGTGAAAACATAACGTGTGTTTACCCCATTAAGAAAGCAATGCCAGCATACGTTTCATTTACAAAACCAGAACATGCATTAATAATAGTCATTGATTCTAATGCCAAAACATGAACTGTCTTATGACCATTACAGCATTGACTCATCATACACTGATTGTTTGTTATAGCATAAATAAATGAATGTATTATGATACAAAAGTATTTCCCAAAAAAGCACTACAGTGGGAAAAGATCTGATGCTAACCAAATTTGTAAAAATGGACATACATGTACATACACTTTATAATGAATAACACATGACACACACACACACACACCAAATGTTAAATTGATGTACACAATCCTTAATTGACACTAACTACCGTGTAACGGAAAATTTTCGTGGCCCAAAATTTTTGTGGATCTGTCCAAAAATCAATTTCGTGGCTTTAATTTTCGTGGTTTTCTACAATTCGGCCATCTTAAACCGTATAAATTGATTTTCGCAGATTCTATTTTCGTGGGTTTTGAAAAAAACGCGAAATCAACGAAAATTTTATGCCACAAAAATTTTCCGCTATACGGTACTTACAAAAATTGTATATGCCTGTTTGTGGAGACAAGGCTAATTTAAATAATTGTTTTTATTGATTTTCCTGCTCTGCTTCTACAGTGTAGTTGTTCTGTGGAGGTTCAAGTGATGACAAGTTCAAAGGTGATTCATGTATAGAGGAAGCCAGCAAGAAGAAGCAATGTCCTCAACATCTTCACAGGAAACTTAAACTCTTCCTACATAAGGTTATAACATCAGGAAACACATGTCATGGAAGTTTATGCAACAGTTAATACACCACCACCTCCTTGTTCCTTCCTTTACAAAACTTGTACATTCAGTTTCATAGTATATAAATAAATGAACACTTAATAATAATATGAAAGTTACTTCCTATAAGAGCACTGCAGTTAGGATCAAGGGCAACTTTGCAAGGGAAAACTCTTCAGAAAAGGATCTGATACTAGCAAATACTTACTTGTACTTTGAAAAAAAATAACTGTATTAATAATATTAATAATAGCAGACACACACAGAATTTTATTTTTTGTAAAATTTGGTATACTCAATGATGACGTAATAAACTGCTGTTCTATTTTTGCTACTTTAAAGTTTAAATCTATGACAAAGACACACTTTAATGTTGTATTGTGCACCAAATCATGAAACTGTTGGTATTTTATATTCAGCAGGTGGAGTATATAGACTCAGGCCCAGCTGTATCATATATTGGCTCATCAGTTGATCTATTATAAATAACAATAATAATAATAATAATAATAATAAAAATAATTGTATTTTATATAACTGACTGTGCTTCTTGTACTGTAGCATACATGTATGTTGGACTATCCTTCATTGATAGATCATCAGCAGTACTGTATGTGTGGGTGTGTATAATATAAACACAATCTGATAATCAATAGTATAACTAACTTTGTAGTATAAGCTGGACTGCATTCCATTTCAATCTCCTCATCTGGTTTTCTATGTAATTGTAAACTACTACAAATTTTAACATTAATTATAATAGTAAATAAATGTACCTCTTTTGATTAATATTAGCTCTTTTATTATATACAACCAGTACCAGTATAATGATTATAGATACAGCCAATAGTGATGCTAATACTGTCACACCAACTATCCATCCAGTAATAGTTCCTCCACTATCCACTAATACAGTAGTTGACACAGT